GGGAGGGGGTGATGGGGGAAAGAAGGGGAAGGGTCAAGTCAAGGAACACGCATAAAGGACCCACGGACAAAGGACTGAGTGTGGGGGGTGGGGCGGGGCAGGGGAAAGTAATGGGAAAAAAATGGGGACAATTGTAACTGAACAACAATAAAAAAATATTTTTTTAAACGAGAGAGCTCCAATTCCTCCACATCCTTGTCAACACATGTAACTTCCTTTAAAAAAACGTTCTCGCCATGCTGGTGGGTATGCAGCAGTACCTCCGTGTGGTTTTGATTCGCGTTTCCCCGAATGAGTAATGGTGGCGGGCACCCTTTCGGGCGCTGGTTGGCCGTTCATGTATCATCTGTGGGGAGAGACGTCTTCAAGCACTTTGCCCCCTTTTTCAAACTGAGCTGCTTGCCCTTCTGTTGCTGAGATGCGGGCGTTCTTCACGCTGTCGCGATACTGGACCCTGAGCAGTCGCATGAGTCGGTTACATGAGTTAAAAAGATTTTCTCTTCCCTTTCCTGGTCACGTCTTTCCACACACACAGGTTTTTCGTGTTGATGGAGTCCAATTTGTCTCTTTTTTTTTTTCTTGTGCTTTTGGGTGGCATATCTAAGAATTCATTTCAAATCAAAGGTCTTCACGTTTTACCTCTAATTTTTTCTTAGAATTCTGTTGCTTTAGCATTCGTGTGTATACCTGAGCCTGAGCTGCATTATGAAGGAGTTTTCTCCTTGACTTGCCCTTCCCTCACGGCCAAACATTCTCGGCTGCTGCCCGGCCAGCGGCAGCTGCGTGCATCTCCCTCCAGCCGCACTGGGCTCAGGCTCTCGCAGTGTCTGCCACCACCCGCTGCCCACTCAGGCGTGTCCTCCAATTAGAGTCTCTGCCACATCCACCTCTGTGGGTTCCTTCTCGTGCCACCTGTACCTGAACACAGAGCGCCACTTGAGTGGCTTGCTGTTGGCTACAGCATCGTGCCCCTTCCTGGGGTACCTCGGAAGCCACACTCGAAGGGTAAGTGATGTCAGAGGTGGGAGAGCACTATTTATGGCCCCCGTGCCCCACATGAAACCGCATCCGGCAGGCACTCACCCCCTCCTCCTCCTCCTACTCGCCATGCCTCGGGCGGGGTGATGGGAGGGGATGGCAGGTGATGGTGGTACTGAATTCTAGCTTCTCGCTCCCCAGGACAGCCCCAGCCCATGGCCGCCATGTCCTAGAGGCATCTAAAAATGTCTTGTAGGTACTCTGTCCTGACCTATCCCGGGCAAGCATTCCATCCCAGAGCAGGCCACCTCTGAGACACCCAAACCAAATCTAAGTCCAGTCACAGAGTGGTTTAAAGCTCCTAGACTACTGAAGAATACAAGTGTATCTTTCTACTACAGGGTTCACAGGGCATCCCCTAAGTCACTTGAGAGAGCTTTTCGGCAAGTGGGTGTATGGAAGATGCTGGCTTCCCCTCTATTTCCCCAAAGTTTAGTGGGCCTGGAGTTGTAAAAACATTCAATCTGCTGCCTCTACACTCTAACAGAGACATAAATTGCCATCATCGATGACATTTTTATTTAAGTGTTCCTTTACATATTCCGGTCTGTTCTTTGTTCACTTGGCGACGGTGGCGAAATTGGAGGATGAGGGACACGCTTATCTCTGACCTCCGTTCCTCGACACTTCCTCTTCAAGAAATCATTTGCCATTTCAAGGCTTTCTCGCTGTGACTCTGTGCCCTGTGGTGTTGCATGGTCACATGCAACAAAAACTGTGGCCATGGTTTGTATTGTCTTTATTAGGAAGGCATGCTTTTCCATAGCTGTGCTTTTTCTGTGGGCATCTTAGTCCAGAGCATCGTCTTTAACCTGAAGAGATAAAATCCTAGAACTCACTCATCTATTTTAGTAGGTCACAGGAAGGATGCAAGCTGTAGAAACCACAGTCACCAAACGTGTCTGTTTTGAAAAGAAGAAAGATTTACCTTCTCAAGTGTCACCTGAACAAACCCATCACAGAAAAGTAGAGAAGTGACCAGGGACATCGAAGCAGCCCCGGGCTGTCAGTAAACCATGCCCGTGTGCTCCTGCCCGGGCAGCGACTCTCCCCAGCCACGCCCTGGCCCATGTTTTCAGTGGGGCGAGCATGGCCCTTCACAGAGGGGCCGAGAGGTTCTTAGAGCAAACCTGACTTCCGGCTGCGACGGTCTGACCCCCAACTCCGCTGCTGGCCTTCCGTGTGCAAACGAACAACAGTCTTAAACTTCCCGGGGCCAGCACTTGAACTCCTTGGTCTATGGAAGAACTCAGTGTTTCCACACCACTGGGCCAGGTCCCCTTGCACTGACCACTGCCATGACGTTTATGTGGTCCTGCCTGGCCAGCGGGCACACCAGAGATAGGGGCCAGGGACATGCTCCCCCCCTCCCCACGTCTGCTCCAAGAGCTATCCTCCTCTCGCAGACCGAGATCTTCAGAAACCGTGAACCCAGGGCCACAGGTGGATGGGGGAGTCTCAGGCTTCAGGAACAGCATCTTTCCTTACTCTTGCAATGTGTGTAAAGAATCCTTAGGTGTATTTACCTTGGTTCCCAATTTTCAGACTATCTACATGGACCACATGAGAACAAATTAAAAAACAACAGCAAAAAAAAGGTTGGCCCAATAGCTTGTGTGGTTGGTTATTTGCTCTTCTCCCCCAGATCCACTCTGAGCCCCGGGAAGTGACATCAGTGGGATACGTCACCTAGACTCCATGCTGATCCTCGGCCCGTTGGGTTCAGCCACTTGCAGGCAGGAGATCAGAGTGGGAGCTGAGAGTCAGGGGCTGTCCACTCCCGCTCTCCTCGTTCATCGCTAGTGTTCTAGGAGTGGCTGCATCCCTCGACCTTCACCTCTCAACTGAAGCTCTTGGCAGGGCTCAGGTGGTATCGTGGATTCTGCAGCCCTCCAAGCACGGGGCTGAAAGCTCCCACGGCTGCTACTCACTGGGCACCTCACTGCCTGAGAATGTTTTCCTGGGCAGGTTTAGTGGTGAGAAGTTTCCTCAGCCTTTGTGTACCTGGGGATGTCTTAATTTCCCCCTCCCTCTTGGACAGGTTTGCCAGATTTAGGATTCTCAGCTGACAGTTTGTTTCTTTTAGCACTTTTAATATAGCAGCCTATTGCCTTCTGGCAACTAACATTTCTGATGGGAAATCTGCCACCAATCGTAACGAGGGTCCCCTGTATGTGAGGAGTTGTTGCTCCTTTGCAACTTCGAGGTTCTCTGTGTCTTTGTCTCACCAATGTTTGATTACAATGTGTTTCGGTATGAGTCTCTTTGAATTCATGTCATTTGGAGTTCATTAAACTTCTTGAATATTTATATTTATGTCTTTCTTCAAGTTTGAAGATTGTTCAGCCATTATTCCTCCAAATATTCTCTTTGCCCTTTTTTCTCTCTCTCTCCTTTCTGCTGGGACTCTCACAGGTTCCTCAAGCTCTGGTCACTTTCCTTCAACCTTTGTATCTGCTCCTCAAACTCAGTAATTTCCGTTGTCCTGTGTACAAGGTGGTTGATTCTTCTACTTGTTCAAATCTGCTTTTGACTCCCGGCAGTAAAATTTTATTTGTTATTATTTTTTCAGCTCCAGAATTTCTTTCTGGCTTCTTTTTAAGTTTTCTATCTCTTTCCTGATATTTCCATTTTCCCACACAGCTTTCTTGACTTACTCCCCATCTTCCTTTAGTTCTTCTAACATCTTTAGGGCATTTCTTCTAAAGTCTGTGTCCAGTAACTTTGCCATCAGATCTTTTTCAGGAACGGTTTCTGTTGGTTTACTTCCTTTCCTTTGAATGAGCCATACTTTTCTGTTTCTTTGTATGCCTTGTGATGATGTTGTCGTTGTTGTTGTTGTTGTTGTTGAAAAGTGGATATTTGAATCTAATAATGTGATAACTCTGGAAATCAGATGCTCCCTCTACTCCCAGGTTGGATGGATTCTGTCATATTTTTTATTGTTATAAGTTATGTCTGTGCCAAGGATCAGCCTCAGGTGTGAAATTAAGGTCTTCTTGGGTCTTTTCTAAGCCTGTGCCTTTCCCTGGGTATGTGTGGTCACTTTCTAAGTTTCCCTAGAAATGCAGTTGCTTTTAAAAGCCCTAGTCTTCAAGGTCTGCCTGCCAAAAGAGGGGAAAAGAGAAAATGGAGAGAAAAAGAAAGGGCACTGGCCCTTTAAGTCTCCTGAAAGTCATTTCAGCCAGAGGAGGAGGGGCTGGCAGCAATAGGGGGGAAATGCAACAGCATGGCTGTCTGCGTCTTTGTCTGCACCTCCGAGATCAGAAGCAGGACCCAGTGATCAGGGCACACCCTGCTATTTGCCCACCCTGGCTCCTGCAAGCTGTGGGCCAGCTGCGCCAGAAACCTGGGCCAGGTTGCCTGAGGGCGGGGTGTGGGAGATGGGCAGCTGCTATTGTATTAAAAGCTGAATTGACCAAAGTTAACTGCAATTAAGAGTGCAAACCTAGCCACCAAAAGGTACAAGCCTTCAACAGACTCAAGAGTTCCAAAATAGTTACATCAGATTGATTCTCCCAGGAAAATTGTTGGTCTAGGTGGGGAGAGAGATTCCTGGTGATTCCTACTCCACCATCTTCTCAATGGTTTTCTTTTAAGAAAACATCTTTCTGAGAAGTAGGACCTATAATGACCGAGGTCCTTCTTACCAAGGACACCTGTAACCCAAAAGACCATTTAGCATTCCCTTTCATGAAAATGCTCTTTAATGAAATGTTTCACTTGATCCTAAATCCACGATGCCACTGAGACCAGGGCACATTGTCACAGAAAAACTTTATCATGTGTCCTCCACTGTCACCAACAGCCTCCCTGGGCACTTATCCTCTAGGAAATGAAGTTCTCTTGTGCTACTTGCATGCAAATTATCACAAGCAGAGGAGAGCAGATTTCTAGATATAGAGACCCACAAGGTAAAGAAGCCCAGAGCCGTTAGACTCAAGAGCAGATTGCAGGGTGTGCCTGCCTGCCTGCCTGACTCTTAAGGTTGCAAAAGCAAGATTTCAAAATTAATCCTACTCTGGAGACCTCGGCCTAGTGTACAAAGTTCCTGGCTGGAAAAAGAAGAACTGTATCATTCTTTTGTTGTTGTTCTTCTTCTTCAAACCTTTACCCTTACTCTTGTATCCCCGCCTTCTCCTTCTGCAGGAAACTTTATTTCCTATTTCTGCACACCCAGTTCCTACCTCCAGATCTGCTCGGTTCTGTTGCTGAGAAGCCTGACACACCAGGACCACTTGGAAGGAGCCATCCACGGGTGAGTTGTGGGTGCTTTTCCCATCACTTTAGGAATCACAGGCTCCAAGCATCTCAGCTCTGGGGCTGCAGAGACTGGGGGCACCCTGGGGGCCTGCACAGCCCAGGGACTTGGGGATGAAAAGATGGGAGGGCAAGCTGGAGCATGGTATCTTCAGCAGCATTGTTAAGAGAGACCCTGACAAGAAGGAGGAAGTGCAAAGCAGGGTGAGACCACCCTCCAGGGCTCAGATGATAGCAGAGAGCCTGCTGAAGGAGGAGAATCAAGAAAGTGAGGACAACCAGGTCTTTCAACCAGTGCTCCTCTCACTCTGTCCCTCCCAGCCAGCCCCCCAAGGGCTTTAAGGAGCTGGAACTTTCTCCCCAGAATTTTCTCCCCCTCTAGTCCTTATATGTGATAGCCCAGGCTCCCAACCAAAATGTGCCTCTTGCCTCGATTCAGGGGGTCCACAGAGGCTGAAGGGAGGGATTTATTTTTCTGAGAGGCAGCGTTTCATTGATTCTGCATGGTGTGTCCTGACACCCGAAAGTGACACCTAGACTGGTGCATTTCAGCCCCCTTGCTAAGGGCCTGCTGTGGCAGGAGCTGCGTGGACTGGAGCGACAGAGAGAGTGTAGAGGAAGTGGCTGGCATCTCGGAGGCTGGTGCAGGTCAGCAACAAAGCACAGGGGATACATGGTGGGAGGCTGTGGGGCACTTTACCCCGTCGTACCCATCAGCCCCCATCTGAATCATCAGAGCGAGGTGGGGGGCTGTGTCTTGCTACTGACAGACTTCCTGTGTGATACTGGAGCCCAGCATCGAGTACCACCGCTGCAGTCCACACTTGCCCGCACAAAGGGGGAGACTAAACCCTGACCAAATGCAGCCCAAGAGCTTGCTGCAGTTAAAGGGCTGTGCGCTAGGATCCCCAGTACATTCATGTGTGTGAGGTCTCCCACTGGGTTACCTGCGAGTCTGGTCCCCAGAGGGGCATTCTGTGTCTCAGCCACTTGCAGTCTGCCAGTGCTCTGTTACCCGGTTATTTAGTGGATATTTGCTTAGTGATGGTCGCCATGTGCTGGGTTGCATTCTGGGGCACTGTGATGCCTCATTGCAAAGTCAAAGATCTCTGCCCTCACGGAGCATATGTTCTGGTGCAAGTGTATGTGTGTGTGTGTGTGTGTGTGCACACACACATGTGCACTTCTACATGCATGGGTGGCGCATGATCAAGTGGATGAGTGTAGATTCTTAGGCATGGGAGTATACCTAGACAATCTGGTACCTGTTCTTCTGCACCCACCTCTGCTCTCGGATCCTGGAGACGGAAGCCCCTGGGGGCTTTTGTAATTGGATAGCCCAGGGTTCCCTTCCAGCTCAGCCATTACTCGCTTTGTGAATTCGGGAGTCATTTAATGCATCCATGCTTGCATTTCTTCACTTGTAAAATGCATAGTTGTCTCACAAATTTGTTGCAAAGATTAAATGAATTAATGCATGCGAAGTATGCAGCATAGCACCTAAAGCCTAAGGAGAGGTCAATTAATAATTACAGTTGTAATTCTTCAGGTGGATACATTTGTTTTCCAAGCCTGATCGGAGGTCTTGTTTGGAACTACAGATCTCAAGAAATCTGGCTCAGTGACAGGAAATGCGAGCTCTGGGAAATGCATCAATCACAGGGGAAACTGAAGAATGCATACATATATAAAAAGATAAGATGTGTGCGTAGATAGAAACAAACGCATAGCCACAACCAGGAAAAAATGAATATTCTTGAGAATCAAGCAGAATGATGTTAGATGGCATACTTTCATTGGTGCCCCTGTTAGCCAGGTGCCACCGTCAGGGCTGGGGACAGAACTGTGACCTAGTTCTTGGCTTCAAGGAGCACACAGGGGGTAGCAGACGCGGTGATAAGTGCTGATGAAGAGGTTCGCCCTGTGTCATGAGATGATACGAGTGAACAGATGGAGGAGGCTCCACAGAGAAGGGGAATTTGAGCAGGAGGTAGTGGGGGGAGTGGGGGGAGCTCACCAGCCATTCTAGGCAGAGGGGTAAACGCATGCAAAACCATTGCTGCATGAAGGAAATGAGGAGCTTGCGGGGCATGGAGAGAAGATGGCTCTATCTGGAGCCCAGGGTCTGGGATCTGAGAAGGGATTAGACGTGAAGCTGATGAGAAGAGAGGTCAGAAAAGGGGTGAGGAGCCGTCTGGGCTTTCCCTCTGAAGTCCCACCACATACACATCACGGAGCCCCTGGACAGGAAGTGTGGGATCCGATGCCAGCTGCAGAGAGGACGGGGAGGGAGGGAGTGTGGCCGGGAATAAACTTTGAGCAAAGGAGAGACCACAACAAAGCCAGAAGCGAAAGGCAGACAAGGCAAGGAAGTGGCAGTTGAAAGACTCTCGGAGGGGATCGATCACAGAGGTGTTTATGAACTAGAAGTCAGATGACATCATCATAACAATGCAGCTGGAGTAAGCCTTTGTCTCCAGTAAACTTCACAGCAGCTCAGCACAGTCAGTCTCTTATACATAAAGAAACCGACCGATGAAGAAGTGATTGGCCCCAAATGACGCAACTTGTACATTGGAGGCAGGATTCAAATCTAGTCTGTCTGGCTTCCATGGCCTGGTTTCCAGTCTAAAGAGGAGGGGACCAGGATAACGCTCAGTTCTGCTTCTCGGGTGATGGAGTAAAAGACAACAGCCAAGATGAGGAATCCTCAGGTCGAAGCCCATTTCTGGGGCTGTTCCCCTGGGGTACGTTTAATTGGAGGTACCTGTGTAACACCCACTTTGCTGGCTGTTGTAGTGCTAGTGCCTAAAACAGAGCGGCTCCTAGTAGGTGCTCAATAAGTATGGATTAAATGAGTAAATCCTAGGGGAGACATGCAGTAGGCAATGGAAAATTCCACTCCGAGGTGCAGAAGTCAAAAGATGGGACCGGAAGACAGAGCTTCGGAAAGCATTAGTATTCAGGGGACTTGGACCCCTGAGATGAGGTGACATGCCCCAGGAAGGACTCTGGAGCGAGAATAAAGAGGAAAAAGGTGAAGAGGCAGGAGCCAAGGATGGTGCCTGGGCAAGGGAAGAAGGCACCCGTGAAGAAAATTCACAGGAAGCGGTAAGGCAGGAGCTAACCTCCTGGAAACCAAGGGTTTCACATGGGAGACGTTATCAGAAGGCTCAAAGGCTCGACGAGGATGAATCTGAAATGAAGCCGGGGTGTTTATCACTACAGCTGTGGCTCCGGCTGCTGTGGCGCAGTGGGTTGAGTGCTGGCCTGGGAACTGAAAGGTCACCGGTTAGACTCCCACTCAGGGCACATGCCTGGGCGGCAGGCTGGGTCCCTGGTTGGGCTATCCATGTTACACATCGATGTTTCGCTCCCTCTCTTTCTCCCTCCCTTCCTCTCTCTCTCTCTAAAAAAATGAATAAAATCTCTTTTTTTAAATAAAAATTGGGTTGTCATTACAACCTTGGCAAGAGAATAAGAGAATTTTGGCAACAAGATGAAGGCAGAAAGTTGAGAGGAGTATCAGAAGGCTTTTGGCTGCAAGTCCCAGAAAACGCACCTCGTCTTGCCTTCACCACCGGGGCTGACTCTTCCCAGAGCACAAGGGTGGGCGTGGGACTGGGTGATATTCGGACTCGGCTTAGATGTGCTCACTTCCCTGGTCCCTCAGTCACGGTCCCAGGACCAAGCACTCACAACACAAGCTGCAATAGAGGAAGGGTCTTGCATCTCTCGTATCAGAGAAGAGTGTTCCCAGAAGCCCCCGACCAGAGCCTCCTTCTTTTTTAAAAAAAGATTTTATCTATTTAGTTTTAGAGAGGGAAGGGAGAGAGAAAGAGAGAGAGAAACATCAATGTGCGGTTGCTGGGGGCCATGGCCTGCAACCTAGACATGTTCCCTGACTGGGAATCGAACCTGCAATGCCTGGTTCGCAGCCTGCACTCAATCCACTGAGCTACGCCAGCCAGGGCCCAGAGCCTCCTTCTGACGACCATCCAGGAATGGGTCCCGTGCAGAGGAGGCAGAGAAAACAAGCATCCAGCACGTTTGCCCATAATGAGAGTCGGGCTCTGGGGGAAGGTCAAGGCTGTTGGCACGTGGTGGCCAGGGAGATGACAGGCTTCTGCTGCTGGGAATAAAGGGAAGTGACGGACCAGCACGCATGTTCTCAAGGGGGTGGCAGCGAGGCACAGACAAAGACCGGGCACTGCTTAAGGGGGATGAGAATATTTTTAAGACCCGGGCACTGCAGCTGGCACGTCATATGTTTCCATCTTGTTTTCTGTTTGCAGGACGCAGGGAGATGGGCGACGACAAAGACACGCTGACCCAGCTCGGCCACCGCATGCTGGCCACAGCTCATTCTCTGCTGGTGACGAACATCAAGGGGTACGAGGAGGACACCACCTCCCCTTTCGACTACGGGGAAAGCGAGCCCTGCAAAAAAGTGGACGTGAAACGGATCTCAGTCTGGCTCCTGCCTCTGCTGTACTCGATGGTGTTCGCCGTCGGCTTCGTGGGCAACCTGCTGGTCGTCCTCACCCTGATCAACTGCAAGAAGCTGAAGAGCATGACTGACATCTACCTGCTCAACCTGGCCATCTCCGACCTGCTGCTGCTTCTGACTCTGCCGGTGTGGATCCACTCTGTCACAAATGAGTGGGTCTTGGGGGGCGTGATGTGTAAAGTAATCACAGGGGTATATCAGGTTGGTTATTTTGGGGGGATCTTCTTCATCATCCTCTTGACCATTGACAGGTACCTGGCGATCGTCCACGCCGTGTTTGCTCTAAAAGCCAGGACAGTCACGTTTGGGGTGGCCACGAGTGGGGTCACGTGGGTGGTGGCTGCCTTTGCCTCTCTCCCGGGCATCATCTTCACCGAAACCAAACTTGAAGACGGTGCTCATTTCTGTGGCCCTTACTTCCCAGTGGAATGGAAGAATTTCTATTCAATCATGAGGACCATCTTGGGCCTGGTCCTGCCGCTGCTGGTCATGGTCGTCTGCTACTCGGGGATCCTGAAGACCCTGCTCCGTTGTCGGAACGAGAAGAAGAGGCACAAGGCGGTGAGGCTCATCTTCGTGATCATGATCGGCTACTTCCTTTTCTGGACGCCCTACAACGTCACCCTCATCCTGGACACCTTCCAGGTGTTCTTCGACGTGAGTAACTGCGAGACCGCCAGCCAGCTGGACAAAGCCATCCACGTGACGGAGACCCTGGGGATGACGCACTGCTGCGTCAACCCCATCATCTATGCCTTCGTCGGCGAGAAGTTCAGACGGTACGTCTCCGTGTTCGTGCGAAAGCACATCGCCAAACACCTCTGCAAACAGTGCCCGATTTTCTACCGGGAGACAGTGGATCGCGTGAGTTCAGGATACACGCCTTCCACGGGGGAGCAGGAAGTCTCAGCCGGTTTGTAAAAATGAGCAGCCGCTGGCTTGTTATTTTTAAAGGGACATGGCAATCTCTCTATGATAGCACGCCTTGAGGGTTTGTTGAAGTATACAGGTCTGCAAGTCTCTCAAGCAAGTGCCCAGGAACCTTGACAACCTTGACATTGCATGCACTGAGACAGACTCACATCACCCCTTGTACAGCCGACGTGTCCTCGGGGAATATTCCAGAACAACCGTGGGCAGGGACTTGGACTCTGCAGCAAGCTCATCTCAGTGCCGGGACAATGCCCCAATCGCCCATGTTTAGTTCTCCCCCCGCCAGTCTTCACCGTGTCTTCACCCGCTGTCCAACTCTAGCAGTCTCTTTAACCAGGTGCCCGGGGAGACCGCCGTGGGTGGAGGAAGTGAGGGCATGTGGGGTCGGCCACGCACAGAGAGGAGGGGGCGTGAGCGTGGCGGAGCCTGGATGAGGCTGAAAGTCAGGGGGTTGCTCATGCAGCCCAGCAAGGACCGGTCCTTAGCCCCAACTCCCACTGTGATCCTCTTCTCCATAAATTCATTTTCCATTTATTCTGCCTTATCTATACTGACCGTGCACCCTACCTTTGCAATCCAGTAGATTCCCACTGTTCCCAGTTTCTTCAGCTAATCTCCCTGTATAAAAGTATGTACAAATGGTTGTTTATGAAATAGGCATAATCTATAACGAGATGAAAAAAAAAAGCCCTTGTTTTGTTTTTCCAGGGAAAGGGGAGGGTTGCAGGTAGCAATTAGGAGAAAGGGTGGGGACAATGAGTCCCCCCATCAGGGGTGCAGGGCTGTAGCAGGAGTGAGAGCAGCCTTGGCTCAGTGGGATGGGCATTGTTCCTCAAAGCAAAAGGCTGTGGGTTCGATTCCCAGTCAGGGCACATGCCTGGGTTGCGGGCCAGGTCCCTGGCTGGGGGCTTGCAAGGGGCAACAGATTGATGTTCCTCTCTCTTTCTCTGTCTCCCTCCTTTCCCCTCTCTCTAAAAATAAATAAATAAAATCTTTAATTAAAAAAAAAAAGAGCAAGACCACCCCACCCCAGGCCCCAGGAATGTTTCCAGAATCAGCTGAGGGACAGGCCAGGTCTCAGGTCTGATGGCGTGGCTTCCTTGCTGCCTTCCTGCTGCCCTCGCCTGTGTGTTACCCCAAAGCCTCTGCCACACAGCTCCTGCCCGTAGGATTAACCGGCTTCCAAGTCCAGCTTGTGGAGGTCTGCGAGGGTGCACCTGGGAGGACGTGAGGGAAACGGTGCCGCAGAACCCCTCAGTGGGCCTGGGAGAGGGAAAGCAACGGTGGGGGGGTGAGGGGGCCCTGGGTGTGTCCTTGGGACAGAGACAGGGCCCGGGCGCTGACAGAGGCCAGCTCTGCGCCTCCCGCCTCAGCCTAAACCAAGCTGACCCCTAACCAAAGCTTTTAGATCCGGTGGTAAGTGGGATCTGGTCGACCTCAGTAAGCCCAGACTTCCACCTCGGGTGAGCCGAGTTAAGGATGTTCCCCAGGACACGTGAGATCCGAAGCAAGGGAGAAGCACGGGGCTTTTGGTGCTCGGGAGGGGACGTTACTATGGTTTTCCTGTCCTGCTTCGTGGCCAGACAAGGTTTCGTAAGGAAGCGTGTGTGCTGGGAGCGGAGGAGGGCATGCTGCACCTTCTGGTGTTTGTCTCATCCTCACGAAGGCATTAGGTTTTGTTTTAATGATTGTTATGACTTGGAAAAGGCATCAGTGCTCTCTGTCTGTGTTTCTTTTTAAACCTGTTAATAAAAAACTCCTCATTTCCTCCTCCCCCAGCTCTGGCAACCACCATTCTACCCTTCCCACCTGTGCGTCTGTCTTAAATAGCTCCTGTCAGTGGCGTCAGGATGCGCCGGTCCGCCTGTGACTGACGGACTTTGCTTAGTAGAATGTCCTCCAGGTTCACCCATGTGGTCGCATGTTACAGGATTTCTTCTTTTCTGAGGCTAAATAATACTCCATCCTATGTTTATATCACGTTCCCTTTATCCATTTATCCACATGCATGGTATCTCAGCTAGACAAGATGCACGAGTTCTAAACCTCTGCTTTGCCACGTTGTACGTTGTGCCCGTACATAACAGTACCGTGTTGTTCACTCCAAAACCTGTGTAGTTCTCGTGTTGTGTTCTTACCACAATAAAACTGGAAAAAAAAGCTACCTGTTTTGTTACACGGAGGTGTGATAGACTGTCACACCTTCTCCCTCCTTCCCCTGTGTGACTCTACACACACCTGTCTTGGCTCTGTGACTTTCATGTGCCCTGCAGGCGGGACACCCCCACCCCGTCCACAGGTGGCTGGGCCAGTGGAAAGTGAGCAGAAGGGACCCCGCTGTTAACATTTCCCTCACGAACTGCAACGGCCTCAGGTGCGATTCACCAGAGGCAAAGGTCGCCTGGGTCCACCAAGGGGAGAGGCGCCTTGAGAGGAGAGTGACCTTGGGCGCGCAAGCTGACACCTGCGGGGCAGCGAGTGGATTTAGGGGAGGCCTGGCCCTGGGTGTGGTGAGTGACTGAGGTTGGAAACTTCTTCACACTTTGCTGCTTTGGCAATATGTTTGACCTTGACCCCGGGTGCTCTCACCTCCTTGGGACATCCTCGCTGCCTCCGTGCCACGCCCTGTCCTCCCCTGCTCGGCTGGTCTGCTGCCTAGCGGGTGCCCCACCCAGGGGCCCCGGTGCTGGCCTCCCCTTCTAGCAAGTCCCCATCCCTCACACACGTCTCCCGGACGGAGCCCCTCCCTCGGCACCCCCCGCGCTCCTCCCCGTCAATCCCACCCGCTCCTACAACCTTTTCTGTCCCCAATTGTCTCTTTACCAGACAGGGCCACACCCCTCCCCCAGGGCAGATGGTGGGGGTGGGGGAGCTGAGTGGGGACTGGAGGCACAGGGTTGATTCTGCCACTCTCGGTGAGCCCTGGGGACTGCATGTGGCCCCGGTGTCAGCGGTTTCCTTTAGAAACACGAGGTGCTTAACACCTCTTTGCCCTCAGCCTCAGGTTATGGCTGCCGGGGCTGGGGCAACAGGAAAAGTCCCACATAATATCCTGTTGTGCACGGGGCTGACTGTGGAGCGGCAGGCATGATCTGGCCCCGCAGAGCGCAGCGAGCCTGCGGCATCTGCCTGCTGCGCCCTTCGACCGGCCGGTAGACCTCTGTCCCTGAGCCTCGGTAACTGAGGCCCGTGTCTGGGCGGTGATTTGGGGGAAAAACACACAAAATGCAGAGAGCAGACTTTCCAGGGAGCTAAGGGGTCCCCACCAAGGGATGAGGTGGACCATCTGCAAGTGTCCACTTGGCTGATGACTGAACAGGGCGTGGGGACCTGGTGCGCGGGCTGGGGGGAGGGCTGTGCTGGGACCTGGAGGACATCAGGAGCAGAGAGGACAGCACAGTGGCCTCCCAACTCTGCTCATCGTGATGGGTGTCTGAGGCAGAAGGTGAAGGGTGATAGGAGACACAGGGGCCCAGCAGCATTGCAGGCACACGGGTGACAAAGTGTGGCCCTGGTTGGGAAGTGGGAGGAGGTTTCCTTTCTTTCCCTTCAAAGACCTCGGGGACTCTGGCTCTCCTGGCACAAAGGTGGCTTTGGGGACACTGGCAGCTTCTTCCTTGATGGCATTATCAGAGCACTGATGGTAACATTCGAAACGTGCTGTCTGATTAGCGCTCGGTGTCCGCATTAGTGCGCGGCATCTGCAATAGCAAGCGGTGTCCACACTAGTGCACGGTGTCTGCAATAGCGAGCCGCGACAGCATTTTGTGGAACAGAAGCAGCCAGACTGAAAGCAGGCCGAAAGCAGGCCTGCGGTGCCACTCACATGAAGTTAAAGGACAGACGTATCGGATCCCTGACAATACACGTCACAGTGACCCTGGCCGCTGGGCAGGCCCAAGGGCGTCTTCCAGGGTGACAGGGCGAGTCCCTGTCCTTTTGACCCCGGGGGGCGGTTACGTGGTACACGCTCTGCAAAACCTCACCACGCTGTCCCCCTAGGATTCGTGTGCTCTGCCCCAGGGAATTTACAGCTCAATAAAAATGACAGAGAGCTGTGTAAAAATGCTTAACGATGTAAAGAAAGGCCCGCGATATAATCTTCAGCGTGAAAAGAAGGAGGGCAGCACACAGAACTGGTGCACGTGGGAGGACGAGGAACCGAAAAGGAAGCGTGGGGAAAGGTCCGGATTAAAACACACCTGACGTTGAGAGAGGCTGTTTTGTGATTGTAAGAACATGCCCGATTTTCCCCCACTTTCTATGTTCCTGCTCTTCCTAACTTCACACCACGAGCATGTGTTGGTTTTCTAATTCGACGTGTGTTTTAGGAACGAAAGGATGCATTCGCGATGTTTACAGCCCAGCTCGCTGCTGACTGACGCCCACCCGGAGTCGCCTCGAGCCCTGGGTGTGCCCCGGGGAGCTGCTGGGAGGCGGGGCTTTGGCTCGCTGGGCCCACGCAGGTGGCCCTTCGGACCCCAGGAGAAGCCTGGGTGTTGTCCCCACCCTGCAGACAGCGCTCTGAGCGCGTGGTCCAGAGCTGGCGTGGGCGAGCAACTTGGGGGCGATCACCCCAAGTACGGCGGCTGTTTAAAAACTGGCCAGCGCCCCAGACAAGGGCTGGCGTGAGACACCCTCCAATACAGACTCAAGCCGAGAGCAACAAACCAGTGAACAGATCATTTCTGGGGCGCGGGGGGACCTGAATGCCACACGTATGAGGACAAGAGCCCTGAGGAGGGGGAGGGGCAGAGTTCAAAGAGAAGCAGAGACCGGGAAACCGAGTCAAGGCACACTGAACTGCTGATGTGTTGTCATTGCAGTTGGGTCCTGTGTTGTTTCCCTGATGAAACGCTGAAGAAGTTCCCGGGGTTCTCGCTTCCTTGTGCCTCCTGGGGGTGAATCCCTACCCCAAGGGGCGACCTCAGCTCTGCTCTGGACCCAGAAACCCGAGGGGGGTCAGGCACGCTGCTAAGCTGTGACTCCTTGTTTCCGCCTGTGAATCTTCACCCTATTTCCCCCCACACACCCAGTATGTGTTTTCCAAACCAGTGCGGCTGTGGAGTCATTTACTATTTAAGTGGGGAGCTAGCTGCCTCTGGGACCGCCCCCCCCGCCCCCAGGCCTATGACATCAGTTGACAGAGGAGGAAGTGGAAACTGAGAGAGGAAAAGCATCTTGCCCAGAGCACAGAGGGAGCCGGCCGCAGTCTGGGGGAGCCCGCTCCCTTGCTCCATACTGCCCTCTGGGGGTGAGCGTGCCGTCCTACACTCAGCCCCTCCAAGGATGGACACAGACAGATCCCGGCGAAGCCCAGGTCTGCATGGGGAGTGTCACAAACAACCGCTGTCTCAGACAGAAAAGTCACGTTTGTCCGGCAGCATCTGAGCGTTCTACGCAGGTGTATCACCAGCAAACACAAGCCTGCTCTTCCCAGAACCAAAACCATTACCTGCTCTCTGTGACCTTTTACATTCATTGATTCGCTACCCATTTTGTGAACTCTTTCTAAAGCATACTTTATATTTCACTGCTTAGATAACCCACAGGGGACAGGTGTCTGCAAAAGGCTCCACTCGCAGTACCTCATTTGATTTTCTTCCTGGCACATAATTAAGTGCAATGTAAGCGAGAGACGTTAACATTATTTCTCTAAGCTCTGTTGAAAAACTCCAGGCCACCTAGAATTTTCCCTCCCTGTTTTTGTTCGCACCACCCCACACCCCACCCCTTTGGCAACCATCGGCTTCTTCTCCCATCTATGGGTCTGGGTATCATTTCATCTTGGCCACAGACCTATCAAGTAGGTTTGTGTGTTTGGTGTTTTGGGTTTTTTTTGCCCCGTTTCACAGATAAACAGAAACCAAAGCCTGGAGAGGTTCACTAACTTGTCCAGATCAAACAGCAGTAAACAGCGGAGCTGGGGTTTAAGTCCAGCCGCATGACCGCAGAGTCCAGATGTCAGTCATTGCCTCTTGAATTACACAAGCTGGGTGAACTTGAACATGTTTGTGGTTCGCCAACCTGGTGAGGGTCACCAGTCACTGGGCTCTGCAGTGACACAGACACGTGTCCCTACACGGGCTAGCGCCGTGCTCGCCCGGCCTCCCCAAAGTCGTTTGCTCCCCTTCTCCAGGCCCCAGGCACCAGCCTCACTGACCCTTTCAGTGTCTAATTTGCTGAGACTAAGCGGCTGCACGCAAGGACCGTGGGGGGCCAGTCTTGTGAGAATTTTATCAAACAAACCTCTCGGAGAAAGGATCACTTCATGACTAAGAGCTTGAGGTTTATGGAGTGTCTATTCTGTGCTAAATGCTGGCCATGGATGCCTCATGGAATCCTCCCAACGGAGCCGTGAAGCAACCACAGCCAGCCCCCGTGGCGGGCGCCTCCCCAGGCCTGGGGTCTCCTTGGCCTTCCCGCAGATCACAGGCTTCTCAGTCCAGAGCGGAGGGGAGGGGCGCCCTCAGAGGATGCTCCTGGGGCTCATGTGTGCCCCCCGCTGTGTTCTCAGCTCTGTTGTCAGCTGAGGTTTTTATATAAGTCACCAACCACCAAGAAAGCTTGATGTGACCGCCTATGATACTGTCACATAGTCCTGACCTTGACCCTACTCTTGTGGCACTTGCTGCCCATTTCGTGTTGAAAATTTCTCCTAGACCCGGACAGACCTCGGGGTGAGCATTCTGCCGTCTGTATACCTGGTGCAGGACAGGCACCCGGCAGTGCCCGCTGGTTTGGAGTGCTGCAAAACAGGGAATGGGTAGAGAAAAACTTTGTAGTGGCATGCCCCACTAGATACCCGAGAGAAAAGTGGGCAGCGTGGTTAGCTCATGGGTGAACCTATAGTGTCAAAGTGCCTTCCCCAACCAGTTGTATCAGTTTACAGAGAGAAACCGTGCTGGGTGGCGGGCAAGTGTGTGACTTGTGGCAGGCAAGGGGGATGGGAGAAGGGGGGTAAAAGGGGTGCGAAGTATTCATGGGGTGAACAGGCAGTGTTCCCCTCTCAAGTTCACGTTGTTCGAGTGGCTTTCTTTGATGACAAATAGCAAGAGGATCGGAACCTCTTGCCCTTTTAGCCTCGCCACCGATGAGCCCTGTGGTCTTCCACAGATCGTTTGCCTCTCGGACAACAGGGTTTTTTT